TCCCATATTTGCCTCTGTTGTCAACGTATTGCAAGCGTAAAACTCGCCAACCACTGTGATATTGTGTGGTTCCAGCCTCGGTAAACCCGCCCCTCCCTTGTCTCCACCCAAACACTTGCTAACTGACACGGACCAGTGACATTACGCAGCCAAAGTTAAAGTAAACCACCATCATGATAAGATAATTTTATGCAGGCATCATTTGACTAATTGTCTGATCAAACCTGATTAGAGCTCTATATCAAATGTTTTCCTGTCACACCTGAGAAGATGATTTATGAAGGTTTCAGCTCAACTGTATTTAAACATGTTCTTGTTCAAAACTAATTAAAAGCATTCTCTAGATGCAATATTGTGCAATGAAGGAAAAGAATTTGTAAAAAAAAAAAAAAACAGTTCTCATGACTTTTTCTTAGTGGTGCCTATCAAAACTTTAAGTTTGAATATAAGCTTAAATGCAGCAGGTTCCTGTGTGACATATGGGCCTATTATTGACAGTGACCAAAGTGACGAGTAACAAACACTGGAAACAAAAGCTGCCACCAAAGTCTTGGTCGTGTTATTCACCTTGTTTACTTCACTCTCTGGTTAGATTTTTGTCATTTCTAAGTTTCTCTAAGACTTTAAGGTTTAAGCTCTGTTGTATATAAGATTTTTGGCTTATTATGTGAATGAAAAAAATAACATTAAATTCATGTGAATGTAATAAGAGTGAAACATTTTTTATAGGAAAAAATTGTACAATATCCCATGTGAGTATTATAGTAACACTACCAGTAAACACTTTGTGTGAATAACACACTGTCTGAACTGCAGGCTGAATCCCACTTAGGGTCAATCAGTTATTTACAGGATCACATTGTGGGTTATTAGTCTAACCACCATAATGACACTTTACATACTGAGCTTTGCAACCACAGAAATACATAAAAAACCTCTGCCACACACACACACACGCACACACGCACACACAGACACACAGAGACACACACACACACACACACACACACACACACACACACACACACACACACACATATCCAATAGACAGTTGTGCTGGTTATGTAAGAACAGATTCAGTTGCAGTGTCACTCAAAAGGTGAGACCACAACAACAGAGAGAGAGAGGTAACTGTTAACCAGTGAGATAACTGATTTATTTACCTAATCAATCATGAAAAATATTAGAAAGTATATGGACTTCATAATTTACTCCAATGATATGTAAAGAAAGAAAGAAAAAAAGAAAGAAAGAAAGAAAGAAAGTGTAGAGAGAAACCTAACGAAAGTCAGTCTGTTACTAAACCAACCGACCACAGGGAGGAAACCACACTGGATTACAGTTATTTAACCCTGACAACACACACACACACACACACACACACATACACACCACAGTAACGTATCAGCGAGGCGTTATGATAAGACATGTTGTGTGTTTTACAGTTTGTTTTGCAGCCTCTTTACAATGAACTGCCACTTACTTCTTACAGCCACAAACACCCGACCACTAACTGCTGGGGTCACTTGGTTCTTCATATATACTTTTGCCCCAGGTGCATTTTTCTTCTAAGATTACACTGCTAAATGTGCAAATGCTGTTCACATGTGTTGTCCTGGTGTGTTCAGGTGTGTTCCGTAAAGATCATCTTCCACTCCTAATAAATGCCAAGACAATCACCTCTTCTTCCTATTTCAGTCAGCTAACAACAAAACTGTTGTTTTTACTTATTTATATTCATGTATGTTTCTGTGGTGTGGAAACTGACCAGGCATAAAGAAGTGATTTGATCACAGTTCTTAAGTGCTACCTGAGGCAACTGGTGCTGTGATGCCTGTCAAATCAGGATTTTATTGTTGTTATTTATTCATTACAAGTCGTCAAAAACAACATAAATATATTGTAGGTCAGTAGCACTGCCTGTGCTGTGTTTGAAATTTAAAGGAGCTATGCCTATTTGTAAGTTTTGCTATTGCTACATAGCCACCGTAAGCATTAACAGCTATTTACTTACCATGTTAAAAAACAGTTGTGAGTTCAGCATCAAACTTCGTTCCTTTGAAAGTGAAGCTAATGTTGACTGTATCACTTCGGCTATGTCTGAAATCACTCACTACTCCATAGGCTATAGTCCACTATATAGGGAGTTTACAATTTTGTAGTGCTGTCCAAATGTATAGTGACAATTATGATCAAAGTATCAAAGCATCCCACAATGCATTGTGAAAAGTAGTGTACAATCTATGGTCACTAACCAAGCAATGTATACCATCATGCATTGTGCTCGCACTCAAATACAGAAAAACACTGCGGAGAAATTAACCTGAGTAGTGTCCGAAAGAGTTTTTTTCAATTTACAGATGAGCTCACTACACAGCCCTTGATTGTGATTTCAGACACAATCTTCTTTTCTTTTACTGAAGTTACTGATAAGTTTCTGATACGGGAGCTAGCTGGTTAGTAGCTGTTTATTTACCATTCAAAAAAAAAGTTCAGCATCAAACTTCTTTCCTTGGAAATAATGCTAATATTGACTCTTGTTTTTATTTCTATCACTTCTTTTCTTCTACTGAAGTTAGCATGCTAACCATCTTGCTCCCATTTTGTAGCTGTCCGATATTGAGTCACTGTAGCGTCCAGTCTGCCCTGAAGACATAGCGCTGCTCAGAGGACATATAGCCTCTTGTCTTGTAAACACAATGATGGCTGAAGCTCTCGGCAAAACTGGTAAGTAAACAGCTGCTAATGCTAATGTTGGCTATGCAGCAATTGCAAAACTTACATATCGATCCTTTAAAATGAATGATTTTAGACAGCACTCGAGGCAACAGAAAGTTTTCTCCTCGATTTTACTGCCACAAGCACACACACTTAAACATTGGTATTTTCTCATTGTATTGTTTCATTGTATTGCTTCAGTATTACCAACTGAATCTCATAATCAGTAAACACTGTGGTGTTTTCATTTCCTCTGTTTACCTCCTCTAAACTTGACGGGCTCAACACCTTGGATCACCCGACCACAACATTAACACACTGTCCACACAGAGACACAATGCACATCACAAGCAACAGATCAACAAATAGTACATTGTTGGTCCCACTGGAAGAGTGTCAAATGGTGCAATACACAAAAACAAAGGTTCAAACATGTGGTCATTGAGTTTCAGTGAGAGTTGGAGGCTAAACTTCACCCTGATTCTGATAAACAAGCAACAGACTCTTACGTCTCTGTACAGGTCAAACCTTCTGAAGAAACCACACTTCCTGGTTTCATTTCTTTACAGTGCTTCAGTTGCCATACCTTCACTGCATCTGCTGCACAGTGCTTTAAGAAGGTTATTTTGATTTTTAAAAATATTTAGTTTTTTTTTTGTCTCCAAATCTTTTCAGTCCCAAACATCCTAGTTACTTATGGCGCATAGAAACAGTCGCATCAATCATGGCAGACACTGAGGACAATCTGGTGTTTGGTGAAATCCACAACCTGAGCACTTCTGTTCTTTACTCGGTCCAGTAAACATTCTTCAGTCGTGCTCAAGCGTTGGTCTGAACTGTGACAGTGGAACAAGTCACCACCATCAGCTGACACTTTTGTTGTTATCACTGACCTTTGTGAAAACACCGGTTTGGGGCACAACCATGGGCTGGGTCACGACTGAGCCACATGTCAGGACTTGTCCCCATCTCTTATAAATGTGGGGCCATGAATATAAACATAAACTGAGATAAGCATGAAATTTTAATTGGTAAAGATTGTAGTTTACAGATAACAGCAACTTTAGCATTTTGTCACTTAACGACAACAGGCTTCATAATAACAGCAGCCTTTTGTCTCGTTGGAATTTAGCTTCAGAGAATCTGCACTGTCTTTATTTTAGTCAATGACATCATTTATGCCTCCAAGGCATCTCTGACTCAAGAACTAAAACTTAACTCACAAAAGTGGGTGGGGTACACCCTCGTCAGATCGTCAGTCTAACACATTCACACTCCATGTACGGCTGTGGGCATTTTGGAGTTTCCAGTAGACATGACTTTGGACTACAGGAGGAAACCCAAGCAGACATGTGGAAGACAGAAAAAAAACAGGCAGACTCATCATGCCATCATTGTTAGTGCTTTGTTTTGTTGTCAATATAAACAGAGAAAAAAACTGTCACCAGTCAGACAACCATCAAATATGAGTTTATTTTTAGATTGAGAGGGTTTGAGCTCCATCCAGCCACAATTTAAAATGAGAATTAATGTCACACTTGAGATTACAGTGACTGATTTTCATCAGCCAGATTGAGTGTTATTAACAGAACAGAATCTTAAAGCACCAATATCTGTCAAACTGAATATTTTCTTTGCAGCTGGTCAAAGAGCAAACTATTGCTCTTAAATGATGTGACTCTAAGTATAAAATTCAGGACTCCATGTGACAAAACTTTATTTTGATGACTGTTCAATGGAGGACAGGCCTTTAATGGAGAGAGTTCATAGTTAAAAGAATATTGGGATTTGCATTGTCAGTTTCCAGAAGCAGCCATGTTATAACATTTAGCTTTTAATGTCAAATTATAAAAATATATGGAAATATAAATCAACATATAAACATACAGAGAAACAAACCTTACATGTAAAATCAGTTTAAACTAACTTATAAATGTGTGTAAATGTTAAATATACTTTAAAATATTCTTGACAACTTTGCTGCGTAAGTGCACTAATGACAGTAAATGTGTTTGGTATTTGCAACACTTGTCATTATCTCCTTAGCTGCATCGATCCGAGACAAAGTGAGGGGACGGGCCGTTAAAAAAAGAAGAATGCATCTTTAAGGATTTGGTAATGAATGGGTAGAAAAGTAGCTTCATTCAGCTCCCTCCTCTTCTTTCTGTGCCCACCCTGCCCCCCAGCACACCGTTACAATGCAGGACCCCTCCCCCATCCCCCCAACACACATACACACACACACACACACACACACACACACACACACACACACACACACACACACACACACACACACACGCACACACTCACACTCTGCCCTGCCCCCTGAAGAACACAGGCAGGGGGTGGGTGTGTGTGGGTGGGTTTCCCCAACTATTTAAACAGATTCCAGCAGATGGTCCAGAAACTTTCCTCCTGGAGTCACGTCCTTCACAACAGACCTGACTACTTCTTCTTCACTTCTCTCCCCCTCCCCTCTCTTTCGTGACCATCTAAAAACGACTTTCAGAGAGCCAGACTGAAATCTTTTTCCAGACCCCTGAACCTTTCCTCTGTTGTCTGAGCTCCCCAAACGCTAGACTTTGTCCATCTCTCTTCGTTGTCTTTGGACCCAGGAACTTATTTTTTTCCTCTCCTCTGCGAGGACGGTGGAGCAAACCATGCCCTCCGACTTTCTAACACCTTTCCTGGAACTGGATGAGGAGTTCTGCAAGGTGAGAGACACCAACAGCAACTTAAAACTTTTACACAGATCTACAAACACGCCAAATCTATCTGTCTCCCGTGTGATCATCTTAAGATCTTGTCTGTGATGTCTTTCAGTTAAGACGATCAAATAATGTCTAAATTACAGATAGTGTTCTTTGGATATATCTCAAATTCATTCATTCATTCATTAATGATGCAGTCATTCATTCTGAGAAAATCTAGATTGGAGTGAGGTTTAAAATTTCGTCTTTGCTGCAGCTTTTGGTTTAAAGCTCAAATAATTAGTTTGCATCTTAATTTTGTTCTTAAATCCTTTTATACTTCAGAAGACAAGTGAAACTCTGGAACTGAGAAGTTTGTTTTAATAGGATTTCCTAAACCATTGCAAGTTAATGTGTTACGGGTTTAAAGAAACATTTTTAAAAATGGATGTATTGGATGTTTTTTGACAGTTTTTTTTTGATAGACTGCAAATACTTAATGGAAGTTGATTAAAGTGTTTTATGCATGCCAACTTGCAATCCAGTTAAACCCAGATTCAACACATATTTTTTCAGTTTGTAAACATGGTTTTATTCCAACATTTAGTTCAGTTTCAAGTTAAAACATAGTCCAACTTCTTTTTTAACTTAAAAACCTGGTTTCAGTTTGATTCGACCCTGCCAGTCTCACTCCAGCGCTCGAGGAATGCAGAAATCTCACATCTATTCCTCTCCCCTCTCCTTTTGTGTGACAGAATTTCCGCGGCCTGGAGACGACAGATGGCTCGTCTGCCGTCTCACAGCAGCAACGGCAGCAGCACAGTCAAAGAGTCCTGGGCTTCCAGCGTCGCCATTCTCTCTGCCCCGTGACCCTCCCCAACTCCAAGTTCAACAACAGCAGCAGCAGCAGCAGCAGCAGCAGCAGCTCTGAGGTGACCGAGTCAGCCTGCTGGGGGCTGAACATGACCTCCACCCAGCAGTGGAGCAGGGAGAGTCAGCTACCCCGTTCCTCTCTGAGCCACATCCCCTTCAGGGTGGACCGCTCAATCAGCATGATCGAGGGCAACGGCAGCAGCTTCGCAGGAAGCAGAGAGGACAAAATGACTAACATGTCCCCAACAGTGCTGCTCCCTCCACCAGGCCTCTGCATCAGCAACACCTCTATCTCCTCCACTGCTTCCGCCTCCAGACCCCCAGCCCCATCGCCTCACATTTCCACTCGCTACAAGACCGAACTCTGCCGCACCTATGAGGAAAGTGGGACCTGCAAGTACGGCGCCAAGTGCCAGTTTGCCCACGGCATGGACGAGCTGAGAGGCCTCAGCAGGCACCCCAAGTATAAGACCGAGCCTTGTCGCACTTTCCACACGATAGGCTTCTGCCCGTACGGTGCCCGCTGCCACTTCATCCACAACGCTGATGAGCTCCAAGCCGGCAACGCCAATGCCGCCGTACCTCCACAGAAACAGAAGTTGAGGCCTCCTTTGCTGCGTCACAGCTTTAGCTTTGCAGGCTTCTCCTCTCCACAGACTTTCCAACCAGTTGAGGAGCCACAGCCTTCCTCCCTCCTCTTCACCCGAGCCTCCTCTGTCTCCCCTCCTCCATCCTCCACAGGGAGCCCAGAACTCCTCTCACCTCTCTTTCCTGAGCCGGGAGCGCTGAAGCATTGCCCCTACCCCTTCTCTAGCATCACCGACCTGGCGGGCGACAGCGGTGATTCAGCTCTGCGCTTCTACGCCGTGACCGATTCCATCAGTGCCAAGTGTCCCACCTCAAATTTCGCCTCCAAAAACCCAAACCTCCCTTACCACCACCTCCCCCAGCAGCTGCCTGTCTCTCTGAGCAGCCTCCCCGGCCTTCAGCGCTGCTCCTCAGCTGACTCCCTCTCTGAGGAAGGCTACACTTCTTCCTGCTCCCTCAGCTCTTCCTCCAGCGGCACAGAGTCACCAAGCTTCGAGGGTCGACGTCTGCCCATCTTTAGCCGCCTGTCTGTTTCAGACGAGTAGGGAAGGGTTTTACTGTGGAGCTGAATTTAATCAGGGATAGATGGTCTATTTGTTTTAACTCATTGTGACCAGGATCTAAATAAAGCACAAACTCCATTGTTAAAACTAGTTCAGATACAGGTCACACAGAGTTAAAACATTGGGTTTTTCACTTCCTCCCTGAATGCAACGTACCTAACTTTGTGCATATTGCATTTCTCATCCAAGCAGTTGTAGCGCTGCTCAGTGTTCGTCCAGTTTTAGCTGACTTCTCCTTTTGTTTGTGGTTTTATTGTTATTTTTGTAAGTTTGTTCTTTTATATCATTGTTACTGCTGTATACTGTTGTATACCCATTTTTTAGAGAATACTTGGAGGGTATTTCACGTAGCTCAGCACTCGTCCTCGTGCTGTTCCTGCTCAATTGGAAGTTCTGTGTGAGAATTTCCTGTACCCTGATTTAAAAAGGATTTAAAGATAAGTGCTGTTTGGGCCCATGTAAGACCGGTGTGCTATCCACTTTTTTTTTTAACACAGCAATGTTGTTTGTCACAGATCTTATTTCTTATTTTACTCCTTACAAACAGTTTCCGAGATGCAGCACTTCTCCAGTCGTACCAAGGGCTCTCCAACTGTATGAAGCCATCCTCTTGTCCATGAGTATGAGGGCTCAATGATTATGCTGTCAATATGCTGATTGATGAATTGATTGGTTGTATGGCTGTGGCCACTTGACTGTAGTTGTCAGCCATTTTAACTACCTGGCAAAGATTCAGCTAAACTGCCTTAGCCGCAAAAAACTAGCACAAATGTAGGCAACCCACTGACTCTCTCTAGTTACCAAAGCTGATGTTATAGTTCCTCTAACCTGCTACTGTTAACACCTAGCCTAGCCTTTAGCCATGACAGTTAATACAAGCTGTCATTGTTATTATTGCTTAACACTTTTTTAAAGACTTATTTATCGCTTTATGTATGATTTGCTGTTTCTGTCAGAGTTTGCTTTGTGATTGTGTTAATGCATTATTTTTTTTTTTCTTTACGATGCCGGAGAAATTATGCTTTACTTATGCATCCATGTTGTCCATCTGCTTGGTTTTACACCATCCAGTAGCTTTAAGGAGGCTCGTGGAGAGGAGGGGAAAGGAGGAAGAAAGACATTTTTTGGCATTCTATGTGTAAGTTGCCTTATTGGCCTGGCAGAAATCAAGACTCGCTGAGTTCTCACATCAGAAGCAGCTCGATACGAAACAGTCCAATCAGTAGCATGAGCGATACTTTCTGCTGTTGGTGTGAGCGCACAGTGGCTCTACCCTCCTCTCCATCACACCTCACACATCTGACTGTAATAACCCCTTTTTTTTCCATTTGTTTACTGCTGTTATTTAAATACAAAGCAAAACGGTGGTGGACACACATTCACAGCCTCAGTGTGAAAATGAATACTTATGAATATCATCAGGTTTAGAGCTGCACAACCAGTGTCAGTATTTCATCTTACATGTGTGACTAATCCATCAGGACTCCTGTAGTGCTGCATTGTGCTCTTTGTGTGTGGAAAACTCCTACTTGTTTAAAAAATCCTGTGTGCTCTATTCTTCTCTTGTGATGTAAACACACAAGGTGAAAAGGTGACCTTTGTTTGTAGTTGATTTTATCTATCAGAGTTGCCTTGCTGACAATGTGTTTGTAGGTCGACTCCTGTTGCACGCTAAGCTAGCTAGCTCTCTGAGCGGCAGGTGAAATCAAGCGAGTTCAAATGAAATCAGGCAAATGTTTATTGTTTGTTTTTGTCATGAAATCGAGTCAACTTGCCCTGACGAGTCCAGAGACGCTTGTTGTTGTGGAAGCTCATCGTTAGCTTGACTCGACATCAAGCCGTTTTTATAACCTTTGTTAACTTAAAGTCTTATTTATTTTGTTTTTCAAAGCAAAACCTATATTGTGTTGTTTGATATTGTGTTTCTTTTTTGTTTTACATAATTTAAGTGCATTTATTGTTTACATTCCATGGGTTATGTTGATATCCTAGCTCTTTATCTTAATATATTTGTCCATCTTTATTTCAAAATAAAAGTTTTGGAAAAATAAGTTCAGCTGCCTTGTATCTCATTGCACTTTTGTTTCAAGTTTGTTGTGTAGCACACAGGGAGTCTGAAGTGGTTTTATTAATTATTGGATGTTTTAGGATTTATGATTTCCCCTTGAGGTAGGTCACTTTTATTTAGATTAACTTAAGGGTCAAAAACAGAATTAAACTTGAGAAAAATAGAATGTAACATACAAAAGACTGAAATCCAGTGCATTGTATAAGACTGATATTCAGCTCCTTCACTTTCTCAAAGAAGTAACCCGAGATGCTTGTTAATGCCAGGTATGAACAGGGCCTATGTCTTAAGTAGTATCCCCACATCCCAGTCACCATGCTTTATGTTACAAAAACACTTTGCTTGGCTTTTCCATTTTTATTCCCTGTTTTCTGCGAGATCATCTCTCACCACTCACGAGGGAAATGATCAGAGCTCTGACTCCTTTTAGCCGCCATACCTTCTGCAGAGGAGACAGCTGTGGAAAAAAAATCTCTCTGTATTGCATAACTACAAGAATATCTTGGTATATGAGGGGATACACAACCAATCAAGGTGTAGGTGTTGGTGCTGAGTTAAACTCTTACACTTCTCAGTAATTGATTTCAGTGGAAACTTACTTTGGACTTCCTGGGTTTGTTAAGTATGGCGTAGATCTACAGGATCTGCTTTGTTGTTATTCCCTGTGAGTGCAGGAAAAAATTAGGGTAACAAAAACTGATCTTGTTACGCAGGAAATGTGTGTGGTTAAAATAATGGAAAACATACAATTAATTTCACAGAAGACACATTTTGGTAGAGTCTTCCCCAGGATTTCCCAGGAGCCACTTTAAAATGCTGCCACTGTTCTTGGGCCTTTACAATCATCTGTGTCTCACTGACACACAAAAAGAACAAAGATTAACTCTTTCTCTTACTTGCGTCCAGGGAATCTCCCAGCCCTCCCCTCCCTGTGTGTGTTTATGTGTGAGAAGAGGAGTGAGTTTTGTTGCAGCTCGTCTGAACAGACCAATTTAAAGTGAGTGACACTGAGGAGAATGTTTGGGCAACAGATGCTCAAACAAAGACTTCCCTGAACACAATGGGACACAGAGATACTTGTGACTGATTTCCATCTATTCACACAAAGTGGAGCAGAAGTTGAGGTCCTCCCCTGTGTGTGTGTGTGTGTGTGTGTGTGTGTGTGTGTGTGTGTGTGTGTGTGGTGTGTGTGTGTGTGTGTGTGTGTGTTGGCATTCAGCTGTGGGTGTAGGCTGAGGATTTCCCTCTGGTGAATGAAGTAGTGAAGCAGGAGCAGACTCCCACAACCCCCATGGCTACTTACCATGGTTCTGTGTGTGTGTGTGTGTGTGTGTGTGTGTGTGTGTGTGTGTGTGTGTGTGTGTGTGTGTGTGTGTGTGTGTGTGTGTGTGTGTGTATCTGTAAGACCTTAAAAAGGCCAAGGGCCATCCCTGTGCAGCCCCTCGACCCCTCCCTCCCCTCCTGGTCATGCAGGCCCTTTGTGTTTCCCTGCTTTCCCTTTTCAGTCTAACATCTGTATGCTAATGCAGCTCAATGGGAATGGACTGGAATCAGCCTGGGAGAGAGGGTGAGGGGCGGCTTCCCTGTGTGTGTGTGTGTGGACAGAGACGGGTGAATAAAGTGATTTGGAGAATTCAGCAGCAGGAAGGGGTCTGTGCAGGGCTTACAGAGAGAGGAGTGGAAAAGAAGAATTATTGGTTAACGGGAATCTCAGGAGGGAATGGATGAGGGGTTGGGGTAAAGTTTAAAGGCGGTGTGTGTGTGTGTGTGTGTGTGTGTGTGTGTGTGTGTGCTGGTGTTGCCATGCCGTGCGTGTGTGTGTGTGTGTTAGTGTGCGTGCGTGTGTGCGTGTATGTGTGTGTGTGTGTGTGTGTGTGTATGTGGAGGGGTCACTCTGAATTACAAATGTCTTCAAATACTCCATGGATAAAACAGCAGCATTATGTTGATATGTTGACGTAAAAGCTGAAATCAAAATGTGACCATGTGTTACAGTCATTACGGTCAATATGTATCGGCATGATTTTGTGACATCACAGCTAGTTTGTAAACCACTCATGGTTCTAACCAGTTACTTAAACAGTTAACTTTCATGACAGCAGCAGAGCTCCTGGTCACAGCAAGACCAGAGCAGAAGTAAACCAGTGAGACCAGCAGAAAGAAGAGACACAGCTTCATAGCAACCAGGCCAAAGGTTGTTGAGGTATCTATCAAAGTGTTGGACCAACACACAAACAAGTCATCTCAAGTTAATTACATCTCATGTGTAAACAAACTTGATAACTCTTTTCACAACATATTTATGTGTTACTGTTGTACTGTGCTAAACACTCTTTTTAGCTGATGGAGCTAAAGGCGTCCTGGAGGGGAAAAGCTGGCTGCATATGCCCCTTTTGCTGAAATATATTTTTAAACTTCTAATAAAACACGCTGAAGTTCCAGGTGCTGTGGGGAACACTTAAACATGTTCCCCTCCATTGAAAACAACAAAGACAACGAGTCAGTGCTGGTGCACACACAGCTTCATAACCTGCAGAGTGTCAACAAAGAAGTTCACACAGTCATTTGTTCTCAGCGCCACGAGGCTGCGGAGCACGAGCTGTGGCGTCGATCCTCTTGTGTTCCTGTGCGCTGTTGGGTTGTGCTACTGATGTATTCTGGCCTTTTACGTTAACTGAGTGCTGACTGATGCCACTGCTCGTACCGTGGCTGATTATTATTTGTTTACAGTCTGTCTGATTGTACTTCAACCTGCACTGTGCCACTTTCAATCCCAATCGCAATTCTGCAGTAGAAGCAGTAGAGTAATACCGCTGGGAACACAAGCACACACATGAATGGACATGGAGGTAGTTTTAAATATATATTATATTTCAAAGCTTATCTGGAGTTGATTTGAGGCTTCAGCGGCAGAGAAATCAAGTGGATATCTTTCTCTCTCACACACTATACATACATGGAATTCTAAATCCTCAATTTAATCTACATTTTTGACTCATCCAGCAGCCGAACTCTCTACAATGGAAATCAAATACGGCTCTGAGAGTTTATCCCACTGTTTCACTACAGTTTTGTCCTAATAATGCATCAGAAAATGAAGTAACACAGTTTGTTACTATACTGCCTTTGTACAGTTAGAGGGTTTGTAATCATGTAAGCAATAAGCAATAACCCACAAAGCATATTTTGGTTTTTTATTTTCCACCTTTGTGCAAGAGTTGCATGAAGATGTTCTAAACTTTGACCGATTCACGTCTCAAGAAACAGCTGCATGTTAACTCATAACTGTTCAAGCAGGAAACTTTAATGACAAACTGCAGCTGAGTATCAGTAGAGAGATGATGCCATCTGGTGGAAGCTTTAGTGAAATACACAAATGTGTGTGTGTGTGTGTGTGTGTGTGTGTGTGTGTGTGGTGTGTGTGTGTGTGTGTGTGTGTGTGTGTGTGTGTGTGTGTGCGTGTGTGTTCATAGTTACAGCACGGAAGTAATATCTCTTAAAAAACCACATTGATGAAGTGTGTTTTTACTTTCACTTCTGTGTCTCTCACTACCCCCACCCCCTCTCCCACACACACACACACACACACACACACATACACACACACACACACACACTGATGGCAGTGATCCATCATGCAAAGTGTCGGCCATTTTGCTCTGTTTGAGTTCACACATTCGTGTTGTTCAAAAAGTTCTCTTCAGAAAGGAAGCAGCCCTTTCGGACAATCTGCCTGTCATATAGGGCTGTAAACTGGGCTTGACTGCCCCCTGAAATCTTACTTTCCACTTTGATGACTCAAATTCTCACACCAAGCAACAATGCAGAACATTAAAACTGAGTCATCATTTCAGAGGAAGCATTAAAAGAGCACATCCTTTATCAGGAAAGAAAGAAGCAATATGAGTTTGTTGCCAAGTACAATATTTCTAACTAATCAGCTCAGTGTCTGTGAATGTTCTCATTCGTCCAGGTCATAGTT